CTGAAATTGGAATCTTCATGGATATATTATATTGTAGAATAATGTAGAATACTGATTTGTTAAACTTGCTAAAATTATTTAAAATTTGTTCATTTGCTGTATCTGCCCTATTATAGCTCTTTTCCTGTTTTCAGTATCGCAGTCCTGCTTAGAAGTTAAACTTTGCTACAAAATATGTTAAGTCACTAAACAGTCATCATTAAATAGCACATGATGATGTTCTGCTCAAGTGCTTTTACATTTTGCCAGACTACAGTGCTCACAGCATGTAAGGTATTATTAGCAGGAAGATTGTTCTCAGATTTAATACTGAAGAAGGGGCAAATTTTGTTTTGTTTTGCTTAATTAAAGCCAGAAATCTGATTATTTTATTGCCAGGGTTTTTATTTGTTTCAGTTTACTTTTTAGCTTGAAAAAATGAGCTCTTTTGTATGTTCATTCTGGACATTCTAAGTCTGTTCACAATGGTAAAAGTTAAGAACTCTTTAGCATTATATTTAAAGGGAAGTAGAGGAAATACTTGTGCATTCTGCCCAATATGTACAGTAGCCCTACACAAGTTGCAAATATGTTTGTTAATCTCTTTGCTCAAGAAAACGTGGCTGGGCTGCACCTACTTTTTCCTACACCTTGTTTGTGCAGCTACGTCTCATCCTCCAGGCCAGGTCTGATTTCTTGCCACACCTGGCATCTGATTTGGGGGAATTGCCCGAATCCTTCAACTTTGTTTTTTTGTGGTAATTGCACTCGTGTCTTGGGTTAATCTTTGGCCTTGATCAGCTGCTGGAAAGAGAAAACAAAAGTAAGTAATTAAAGATTCAGCTGGTGGAACATTTTCAGAAATGCTGTGTTTTAAATAGCTTCCTTAGGAAGCTGGTATGAAAATAGAAGGTGATGTGTTTTGAAGTTTATTCTTAACTTTTAAATATCCTGTACAGCAATAACCCTCACCAGCCTTGAAAAATCCAGCATAAACCCTGCTTTGGAGAGGTTTTATTAGCCTTCTGACTAACTAGGAACAGGCTGCAGGTATCCAAGGTGCTTTCCTCAGGAGATTGCATCAGTAATTGTGTCTGCTGTTCTTTTGCCCTGCCCCAGGTGACCTTTGGTAACCCACAGACAACCTGGCCTTTCAAGGACCTTCACTTGTGTATCTGACCTGACTCTGAACAAATATCTATGGCCTATCAAGAGACAAAGTCATTATTTAGGAAACCACCTGAAATTCTGGGTACCTTTGAACCTCGGGTGTTCTTGCAGGAGAAATGTTAGGGGAAAACAGCTTTAAAGCACAGACTGTTCTAGCCCTTTGTTCTCCCTTCCTTCTAACCTTTTGGTTTCTAACCTTGTATGTAAAAGCCTGACTTCAAGTATTACTGAAGAATTCTGTTCCTAGCCCTGGCAAGCCCGTCTGGTGTTGGAGGAAGAGAAGCACTTGTGTGAAGGTGGCAGCTTGTTTGGAACCTGAGCAGTAGGCACAGACAGTCTGCAGAGTCCTCCTGGGTGGATGCGGCAGGAGTGGGGATGGGGCTGGTGCCTCCTGCATGGCCAGAATTGCTGCTGCTGCTTGGGCCTGAGAGTAGGGACATCACCCATCGTTATGTGGGAAAGCTGAGAAGTAACAGAAACCTTTCCTTGAATACCTTCCTTGAATTTAGTCTGCATTTAGTTAGAACTTCATTCAGAACTAGACTGCTTTTGCTTCTTCCCCTGCCCTTTTCTTTTTTTGAGCCTTCCCTACAACTTTTTGGAGAGGGTAATTTTTATTAAGAGTCAAACTACACTTCAGATGGATACAATTATTTAGTTTTCTAATACCAAGTCTTCTACCTCATGTAGTTAGCGAAGTATATCCCAAAGTATAGAAAAATATTTAGCTTTCCAAATTTTATCATATATGTTGTCATTATTCTCCTATCATTGAGAATGCAGATGTCAGTAAAGGATCTTGAGACCAGGTCTGTTAGGCCAAATACAGAGTTGCAGAATATCTGTGCTTTGCCACCAAAGACTTTAGTTGAAGTTCCTCCCATTTTTTTTTACTCCCACCCCAGACCACGATACATATAATTCTGGGGTTTTAGTTCTAGAGTGGCAGCTGCACAGTCTCTGTAGATGTCTTGTCTCTAGCAAGTTGGAAGGAATAAAACAACAAAAAGAGACTCTGGGTTTAGAGATTACAGATGTCAAAGAGTAAGAGATAGAGGGTTCACAGATGTAATATAATAATAGATGTAATTTAATAATAATATAAACAACAATAAAATAATGTAAATCAGAGAAAGTATAATAATTACATAGAACAAAGACAGATCCATTTCCTGTCAGATCTGACTATCAGTACCTTTTCTGTAGTAGCCATCATTCAATAACTCAACATTTACCCTTTTCCCAGCGCATTATCCTATCTTCTGGATCCCTCAACAGGCACATCAGAAGTGCTGTGACACATCCATTAATTGTTTACATCTTTCCTCTGACACCAGGCAATTCTGAATACATTAGAAAAAGATATAAACCAATTAAACATCTAGGCTGAGCTGTATCCCACCCATGTCCTATTAAGGCTTCTATTTAGTTAGGATTCGGGATTCAACATTTTCCTTCTACTTTATCCTGTACTTCTGTCCACCAGCCTTTATCAGTGTGCAGTGCAGCTTGGTGGTTTCACGCTTATAACAAATAATTTAATTCACACAGATGTTCTTCTGTGCCAAATACAGGTTTAGGTGATATGAGCTGAACTCTGAATGAGTTACAAAAGGCTTATGAATATGAGTGTCTTTCCTCTGTGAGTAAACCAAGAACCAGCTTTAAGGAAATACATTGACTGAAGACTAGCTGATGAGAAAAGGACATTTTCTGATTGCCTTGCAGTGTTCCTGTCTGGGAATTAGGGCTCTGTTGTGCTAATCCTGATGAACATAAGGAGTGCAAAGTGTTAGTCTCTTCCCATAATCCCGTTTGTAGGATTTGTAACAAAATTCAATTTTTAGCTTATTCTCTGTGGAACTTCACTTGGAGGTCCTTGGGGGCTACTTCTAAATGGATCTGCAGAAATGAAGGACAACAAGTGTATTACCAATAAATGTTAATACATTACATAAAATCATTGCAAATAAAATATTTACTTACGAGAATGTTCAGTCCAGTTAGAAAAGGTTTAAGCAGACATGATTCAAAGAAGATAATAAACACTAATTTAAACCACAGACAGCAAATAAATAAACAGGAATAAGAAATGTGGGACAAAGTTGTGGCTGCACCACCAAGAGTCAAAGGCAACTTTTGGCATCTGATTGCTAGGTATATTCATACTAGGTATTAATGGTTTGCTTTCATAATGGAGAATATTTAATTCAAAAAAGATTCTAAAAAGAGAAAAATATTCTTCTGAATTGGAGCTCTACCATTTGGCTGGAAAACAATTTCAAATGCAGGAGATCCAGAAGCAAAATATGCATTCTTAACATGACAGGATGATTTATGAGGCACTGAGAAGTTATTTTTTCCTATCTACTAAATTCATTTGCTTCTGCTTCTGTATAAATTTGAAAGTCATATCTGTTCACACACCAGAATATTCCTGCCTCCCTGGCCCCTCCAGCATCACCCTTGCTCTTTGGCCTGTGATTGTCAGGTTGTTCACGAGTTCATGCTTCTAAGGTTTAACAAGAAAAGCATTGATGATCTCAAGAGTCACAGTCAATATCAGAGGATACACTCCAGATTTTCCCATTACAGACAGGATCTGAAGGGCTAAACTGGGTAATTAATTATCCATGGAAGACATTGTGACTAGGCAGGCTGGCAATCTGCCATGGTATTGAAGTGCAGCTGCAGAAAAGAGTTTTTCTCTTTTTGTCTTTCTTGTTCCACATACAAATTTATGTTCTTTTTCCACACCATATATGATGGACCTGTTGGAATTAGTCCAGAGGAGGGCCATGAAGATCATCAGAGGTCTGGAGCACGTCTCCTGTGAAGACAGGCTGAGAGAGTTGAGTTGTATAGCTTGGCAAAGAGAAGGTTTCAGGGAGAAGTGGTCTTCCAGTATCTGAAGGGGCTACAGAAAAGCTGGGGAGGGGCTTTTTACAAGAGTGGGTAGTGAGAGGAGAAGTGGATATGGCTTTAAATTGGAAAATGGTACCTGTAGGTTAAACATAAGGAAGAAATTATTTCCTGTGAGGGTGGTGAGGCACTGGAACAGGTTGCCCAGGGAAGTAGTGGATGCCCCATCCCTGGAAGTGTTCAAGGCCAGGTTGGATGAAACTTTGAGCAACCTCATCTAGTGGGAGATGTCCCTACCTATGCAGGGGGGTTTGGAAGTAGATGATCTTCGTTGTCAGTTGATTCTTACACTAGTTTATAGCATAAAAAAAGTGCATGTTATGGAATTTTTTTCCTGCTGTGAGCTCCTGTCACCTTAGAAGTGACACAAATGTCTGCCATTTGTTGTTTTTTTTTTCCTTGTTTATTTTGCAAATCTCTAAGCTTGTAAACACTGTGATGCAGATGCCCCTGGCTATGGCAGCTTTCTCAAGTGTTGTGTATTGCAGAAGCAGGCCTTGTTTTATGTACCTAGAAATGGCAATGAGATGTGCAAAACAACCCGGCGAAACATTTGCCTCGTTTCCAGAGCAGCCCATGGTGGCACAGGGCCTGGTTGAGCTGTGCTCGCTGCAGGAGCCCTGCTGTCACCTGCTCTCCTCACACCTGTGCTGCCTGATCTCAGCCTGGTGTCTACCAGCGTTGCCCAGACTGCAGCTCTGCACGCCTCTGCCAAGAACCTGCTTTTCCATCCGTGAGCTATAGGCAGTGTTGGGAGAAATCATGATTCATGCATTTTTATGAGCTTCTAAGTGCTCTGATTTGCAACGAATGCCAGCACTTACTGTATACTTGGTTAGAAATTGTTCCATACCACACGTTTTTTCCATCAAACCATTCTTCTGAATGTTGCCCCATGTATTGATCATCTCCTTTGTTTCTATTTGCAGAGTGGTTTACAGACCTATTGCTTCCTAGTGTTTGCTGGCATCTGCTTTGCGGGAGCTACCTACCTGTTTTTTGTCCTGCCTGAAACAAAAAATAAGACATTTCATGAAATCAGCCAGGCATTTGCCAAAAGGAATAAAGTATCTTTAGAAATGCAAGAAATGAACCACCACCCAGGGGAGAGGAAGTCGAGTGTGGAACAAGAATCAAACTTCACGCCTTCGGTGGACAACGGAGAAACCAAGAAAGGGATCGTGTAAACCCAGGATGTTCTTTTGGGGGACGGGGGAAAACATGCTCTTTTCTTTCTTATAGCAGTGCACAGTTTCTATTTTTAATGTGACAGCATGAACTGCCTTCCCCTTGGATATGTTTTAAGTGAGTATGAGTGACTTTGTTATCTGCTAGAGTGATGGTTGAGGAAATGAGAAGTGGGAGTAGCAGCAGCTGATTAAATAAATAAGAGCTGGAGTTTTCCTGGGCACCTGTGAAGTAGGTGTTGTGGTGACTGAGGGGGAATACAAGCTCAGAGAAGTGAATTGGTGGTGGGGAGGAGGGTTGTGAGCATTAGCTGGTTGAGCACCCCTGTGTGCACAGGGAGAAGCCAGCGTGCAGCCCCTGGGGCGGGGAGCAGGGGCCAGGGAGAGGGGGGGAGGTCCCAGCAGGGCTCTGCTGAGAATCAATGCCCACCTACCTGAAGTGTTACCAACTCGCATTTCTCCACTTTTCCCAATATGACATTCAAGTTGCACATGAGAACTAAGGACTCAAAAGAAGATTTGTGATGCTCCCCTGACCTCCCATTCCTTCTCCAGCTCCTTTGACTTCCAGTTGCTTTGCCTGAACATCCCCCACCTTCCCACAATCCTTCCCACATGTCCTGATGGGCTGCCTCATCTCTCTTGCAAATCCTGATCAACTAGTAATAGAGTTGCCTCTAGTTTCTGGGTTTGCTGGCACTGCATTTCTGTGGATGCATAAATATTTAACTATTTTTCAATAACTTCAGAAGCTTTATTATTAAAAGAAAACTCAATCTAATGGAGAAGTGAGAGAACTCTGATGGTATATATAGGGTATAGTGTTTTTAAAAACCCAACAAAACAAACAACAAAACCCAAGTGTTTCAAGGGTTGAGGTTTTTTTATTGTTACTTTTGTGGGGTTTTTTTTGCTCTTCAAGGTCCTTTTAAAACAAGTCTTAGAAGCCAGAATTTCCATGAGCCTCAAGAAATGTCATTTCTTAACACTCAGATCTCTCAGAAGGAATTTGGGTGCCTATTTCTTATTTAAACACTAATTTCTATTTGGGCATTAGATTGTGAAGCTCCAGGCCTAGTTCACATTAATAAGTTTCTAAACTAATGCTTTGTAAAACTGGCCTCAGAGTCTGTTTAATTTCATGAGAGAAGACTCAGCAGGTTGTCAAGTCTGTCAGGGGTTACATGACCTATTCCCTTCCAAGTGGAATTTTTTTTTATAAACTCCACCTTTCCACTTTTTAATTTTGGTAATAGTTTTTCTTGATCCTTCTAGGTATCTGGATGCTGAGAGGGTAATAAGCACTTTTAAAATAAATAGCTGTTTTATATGAAAAGCCAGTAAGTCTTAGAGCTGCTCTCAGTTAGGAGTAAGGCAAAAGAAGTATGTGCAGCATGTAGGTAGAGCCACCTGCTTCTGCAAGTTATATCTTCTAATCCAGAAGTTCATATATTTGGAGCATTTGGGGGGAAAATATTGTGTATATACTCATATATATGCATCCATACATATATGACTGTATTAAAATAGAGACATACAGGTTGATATTTATATTCATATATATATATATACAATGAAGAATTGCTTTCCAATATTTGCTTTTTTCTGATTTCCCCGAGTGAAAAGCTGTTTATTGTTTTGCTCTACACTGTAGATTACACTGTAAATTAAAACCAGAGATCCTAATGTTCTGCTATTACTACTAAATTATGTATATGTTTTACAATGTGATTTATTTATATGTGGCGTATTTGCTGCACACATTTTAAGCTGACCTAATAGGGCAATTTCGCTGCTGGGTAATAAAAGAAAAATTGATCTGAGCCTTTATGCCAGAATTTATGCTGTTTTACTGGGACAGAGGTAGAGCAGCAAGTAAGAAAATTAATATATATGTGGACAAAGGAATTAAGAATGAAAATCAGTTTTATGATATTGGTGCTACTGTTAAGAAACAGAGTGAATCAGGATTATACCAGCTGATAGCCACAGACAGAAGCTAATCAAATACTATGGATAAAACTGAAGAAAAATGTTTTTTCTAACAACCATTTTTGAAATGTCACCTACCTGTGGCTTTAGTCACCTATTTCATGTCTTACGTAAGTCTTGTTAAGTGAATGACTATGTAAAGAGTTTGAATGCCATCCCTCCACAAAATTTTAGGAAGAAATTATTCTTCTTCTGCCTGCAGGGTGAGACTGGCAAATTCAGACCCCCTCATTCATACTGAGAATTACCTGACTTTGCAGTTGAGGCTACTAATGTGGTATGATGTGATCTGATTTGAGCCAAGGTGGCAAGATTGGAAACCACTCTTACTATTATTAATAATTTAGCACTTAGTGCTGTTCACTAATGTACGTTACAGGCATTACTTGTTGATAATGTTGCCACTGGATAACTTCAATAAAATAGCATGTGGTCCTAATACAACAGTTGTACTGGACACCAAGATGAAATCATCTTACAGTTCCTTACAGTTGCATTTGGAGCCCAGCTCTGAATGTATTGGTGAAGAGATGGCTTGATAGAATTTCCTATCACAGCGCAAGGGCTTGTACAGCATTAACAGCAGGGGGTTGTGCTTTTCCCTTCTGTAACCCTGTCTGCCCATCTCTTGCCTCACCTGAGATGAACATACTCTAGAGAGGCACGTCCTGCGTGGCTGCCAAGAGCTGCTGCAGCCCCCCTGTGCCTTGGGACAGCGGTTGCACGTCTCATCATCGGTTTGCTGCAGCCCGTGGTACAGGTTGAAAGCAATCCTAGTCCCCAGATGTGTGGGTGTGCAGGTGCTTTGCTTACTGGCCAAGGAAGGTGCTGCAGTCTCCTCTCCTCTGCCTTGGGTTTTGGAAGTTTCTGAGGAAACTTCAAATGTGCTGGTAATGCATTTAGTTTCTCATCTCTGAGCCCAACAAGTCTTGTGTTATTCTACAAGTTGATCCATCATGTTTTTTTCCATTATTATGCTGCTTTAAAGCTTCTCCAGCAATGAGAGGACAAAATGGAAAATATCAGCAATGTATCATTTGGTTTTTCTTGTTGAATGTATCAGATTGTCCAGAGCCCATGTGTTTGTCAGGAAGTGTTTTGTGGCACCACGGTCTCT